AAGAGAAACAAGAGTGTACTGACTACCGACAGTCAGAGTGTCCCACCCCTTTCTCCGTCTCATCAGCCTCACTTACGGTTCCTGTCATAAAGTAATATTTTCTAAACTATTTGAAATTCAAACATATAAACTGTCTACAATAAACAAATCTAATAATCGCACCAAAAAGCTGTGGATGAGGGATAAATGTAAAAAAGTTTAGCTTTTAACAACAACACATACGCGCGCTAGGCATTATGGGAATATGGCGGATTTGACCACGCCTCTTTCTTTAAAAATCGCTTCTAAAATAAAAAACCTTCTTTTTCCCTTCGCCAAAAGTTTGTGTGTCTATTGAATAAATCGAGGAGATGAAATGTTTTGTTTTGTTTGTTTATCATAAATTAGAAAAGAGTCACTATTCTTCTACTTACGAGCATCTACTTGTACGCATGCGCACACCACACAGAGATTCCTATCAAGAGAGTACACAGGGCGTGCTGAGACCCGGTATTTACCAGCAGGGTTGTTTATTTCTAGCCAGGTGCCATGTTTCAGCAAATAAACAATTTCTATCCATATTTAGTTCATATTTCTCTTTGGACTTTGTAAAGCTGCAGGCTAATGGTTGGTCTTGCAAACACTTTCTTAGGTGTTCCCATGTCCCCCAGTACTGCAAACACTGAACACTGTGGACTTTGTAACTGAGTTAGAAATAATAATAAAGTAATAGAGAAAGAGTGGACATTAGGGCACTGCATGTTTTTAGGTATGTCTGTCTGCTATGTACCACCTCAACCTGTGTAAGCCTATAACCCACACACAACTTAAACCACAATTATCCTTAATAAGACACCCAAATCATCTACAACAAAAGCAGTAAATTACAGATTATTTATTCAGGTGCAACTATTGACAGTATGTAACCTACAGTATAAACTCTGCCCTCCCAATAGATGGCGCTGCACTCCCCCTGACCCCAACCTGGGGCTTTTTGACTGGCTGCTTACATCAACATATAAAACATGACTGCTTACTATATATCCTACTAGTTAAATGCTATACTAAATATATTAAAATAATATGAATCAATAACTATATGTGTCGCAGACAAGTCATAAATAAAAGACAAACTCTTTAACCGCAACAGGGATTGTAGAAGAATACTGAAGTTATTTCAGAAAGCAGATTATCTACCTTTACAAACAATGACATTACCGCGTTTTTAAGAACTATCCACAATCCTCACAAGACAATATATTAACTATTATATGTTGGCAGAAAAAGTTCGCTATAATTGTACACAAAAATTTAAAATAAAACCTGTTTCACAAGGTGCGTCAGTCTCCTCTCCATTAATCCAATCAAAGGTGGCTGCCGTTATTATAGCCGGTTATGATTGTAAAGTGAGTTCAAAAATCATTTTTACCACAATTATTTTCTTATGGACAGATGTATGATTTTACAGCGATGACTTAAATTTGAAGACACTCCTTAGGTTTTCATAATATATTATTAAAGTTACACAGAAGCATGATACTACTAAGTGTGCTGGGTTGAGTTACTTCAACTTGGGGAATCATGAAACGTAATGGCTTTCTGTATTTGCACAGGCTCTCATTCTTTATTAAAGACTTGTCTGGTTGGTTAGTACATGTGGTGATTTGTTGGCTTGAAATTTCACTGATAGGCTGAGGCAGTGGCAGAGTCTCACCAGACTTGTCAGTGATTTTTACATTTCCCGGAGAGAGCCCTTGTCATTTTGTCAGCCTCCCCGTGGCTAAAGTATGCGGGGACAGCGGGGAGGGCTGTCAAACTGTGCCCGCCTGAGAGCGCCTTTCCCCGGGTTGATGAGTCATAATAAGGGCCGGCCAGGTGGTGTAAATGAGCAGGGAGGCAAGTGAGGACTGTGCGTGTGTGTGTGTGTGTGTTGAGTGGTAGAGAGAGGAAGAAAAGATGGATGGAGAGAGGGAGGGAGGGAGGGAGGGAGAAGGAGCACTGAGCTGAGTATTTACTCCAGATCTTGGGGATTTTTGAGTCTCTCACTGCGGAATGTCTTCTGTACTTTTGAAGTGAGTGTAAGCTTTGACTCAGTAAATCACCACTTACTCAGGCAGACAGATTGCCTCTCAGACAACCTGCTCTCTGGATGGAGAAACGTTGCTGCAAAATGAGGGCGCTGTGTTTGAACTTTGCCATCACCTGTCTGTGGCTTCTCCCTTCAGCGGTGAGTAAGATCCGCTCTTTGCTCCGCTCTTTATTAACGCAAAGGTTTATTTATTTATTTATTTGTGGCGATGTGAAGTGTTGGATTGTATGTAGGCTGCTGATAATTTGTGCAACAAATAGGTCATAATTTAATTAATTTGAAATTCCCTCGTGCCCCGGCTCTGCCATTGTTCATCATATTGCAGCGTTGTTGCACAATCAACTGGAGTGATTTTGATGTGTTGGTTTTGTGCGTGAGAAATTAAAATCTATCAGCATCAGTCATTCCAGAAAGCTGTGAAACTGATACAGCAACAAAATTAAGACATTTCCCAACTGAACACATTCAGTTTCTTGGCAGTTTTAAAGGATACTAGGCAAATTGGCATGGTGACATTGCAGAGCGAATACTCCAGATTATTTTAAGAGGAAGACAAAGTTGAGAACTGCAGTTGATTGACTGAATTTTATTGACACTTGCTTGTCTTTACGTGGTTTCTACTGATTTGAGATTCAACTTAGATTTTTCTATGTTGAAAATGTTCCATTGAAACATTTGAGACATGCAGTTTATTCAGGGATGAAATGTGCACTGGTGCTTTGTTCTGATATGATCTACATTCACACTCACAATTGAAGACTTGTATCTCATGATAAGAGACTGTCTTGGGACACAGTTGACTCTTCTATTAGATGGTGACGTTCAGCCAAAATGGATGTACCATCCTCAAAATTTTAATTTGTTCCAGTCTTGTGGTCTGTAATTCTCTTTCAAGCATAATTGTAATTTAATCTGCTCTCCTGTCTTTAATTTAAGTTTCTTAACTTTGCTGCATGAGCAGCCGACTGCGACATCTGTAATATTGAAGTTGTCAGGTGAAAACCTCAAAGCAACCTAATTTTGTGCTTTATTACTTGAACTAAATGAGTGTGCCGTCTTTGTCAGTTTGCAAAAGTTTTATCACCCTAGGGCTTAAGAAACATTGTCACTTTGTTTTTTTCGTTAAGTCGTGGAAAACTGACATGTTAGGGATCTTTTCATCCAATAGCAAGAATGTTAAAATGTAATTACTGCTCTCTGGTTTCTCAGTTGATTTTTTTTTTTGCCTCTGCAGGTGCTTTTGCACAGGTGTTGTGCTTCTGCATCTACTTCACCGCTGTTGCTCAGTTGCAGTTTCTGTGCTGGCATCTTGACACAGAGCCAATGACACGGCTGTCACACAGTGGGCTCCAATTAGGGTAGGTGAGAACAGCACATAGCTGGAGATTTAGGCTTGTAACAATAGGCACAGCTGGAGCTCACTTAGTTACCGGTGAAGGCAGAGATTGGCACACAGGGCTGGGGTGGTTAGGGGTGACGTGATTTCCACTTGTTGGTGAGAAATAATGATATCCTGGGAGCTGTTTATTCAGAAATCTGGGGTAGAATAACCCTAAACCTCCATCTGCCTTCGACATGATATGATGAAAATAGATTCAAGTCCTTAACAATGACTGCACAGAAGTTTTTGCCCAATTCATATCTCAGTACTAGATAAGCATAAAAAAACATTGACCCATCTTCCGCACTGCATTCACACTTCCACTTAAAAATGGAAGTGTTTTTAGTAAGAATAAATGAAGTCTCACACCTGGGTTCACCTGGTCCAATTAGTTTTTGTACTTAACTCAGTGATTTTTGTTTTTGGTATTTTATGATCTCTGCACTCTTGTTAACATACCACAGCGCTGCATGTCAAATATCAGCCTCACAAACAGCCTCATTAATGACTGGATTTATTGGGATTTGAGCATTTTAATAGACAAGACAGCAGGTAGCTGCTTGGCTTATAATAAGCCGCTTCATCAATCTCAACATGCACTTAATTTTCACAGTCTCACTTCTTTTTTACTTTTTATGCAGTGCTATTTTGTAAGTGAGATGGACAGGTGAAATCAACTATGTTTTTATGTATTACTGATGTACTCTGATCTGAGCCTTATATTGACATTGCTATGATACCACTATTACAACTACTGCTCAAACACTCAAATCAATAAATGATGTAATTTCTAGAAACATGATTAGGAATTGGTTTCTCTACATAGAGTATTTCTTAGAGGAATAATCTTGTTATATTGGGCAATTTGTTTTGAATTTAACTGTGTAAGAAGGTAAAGCAGCATGCTGATTTGCTGCAAAAGATGTGCAAATAATCTGCAAACTGCTCACCCATATTGTCTCATCTTGGGAAAGTTAGCTCATACCTTTATACAGTGTAGGTACAAAAATATGAGGGACAGTAATTGGAAGGAGGAGAATGTGTATGGAGACGGAGAAATGCAATGACGACACAGTAAGTGAATAAAACATGAACTGCTCTTTGTATGAAATAATAACCTGACAAGGTGAATCTAAGTGTAGGCTTAATCTCTTATTAATTTCAAGTATATGTAATCCAATCAATTTAGGAATGAAACTGGGATATTTAAAGGGATGATGACGACGAGGAAGGTGAAAATGAGAAAGAGGCATTTTTAGTCTTTTTGAGACAGCTGAGACATGTTCGGCACAGAGGGAGCTCACTATGAAAAATAAGCTGATAACAGTTCAGATTTTTAACCCTTTCATACATTATATACTGTAAATGTATTTGAATGATTCTCTGCAGTGTATCAACAGCGACCTGACGTTGACCATGTTCTTCTCTCTTCCAAGCATATTGATTAATAAGCCCGTACATTCAGTCCATTATCAAGGTCGCATTGAAAAGAAGATTGAAAGTTTTAACAAGGGAGCGAAAGAGAGCGCGAGGAAGGACAGTCAAATTAAAATGTGTTAATGGCAATATGAATGTGTGTGTGTGTGTGTGTGTGTGTGTGCATGCTCCTTGTTTAGGTAGTCCTTGCCTGAAGGAGCTGACTTATTGATCATAGTCAGTTCTCATTCAGAGGACCCTACACATCAAAGCATGATTATTTTAATCGATTATCTGCTACCTTGTAATGTAGCTACAGTGAAACTGTCCTTCACTTGCAGTCATCCTGCTGGTCTGGAGGCTTCTCTTCCGTCTGTCTTGTCACCTTCTACAGTGCATCCTACACAAAATAAATCCTCTGATACTGTATGAAGTTGACAGTTGTTGACTGAAGAGTTGTTTGGTCTTTACAAGTAATACCTCTGATGAATGAATGATATAAACACAGCTTTATTGTTGCTCTCAGAGTTACAAATGGGCTGTGGACTGTTTACCATACAAGCTATTGCAGCTATACCTTTCCATCTACAACTGACACAAAAATTATTAATATGAATTCTGTGTGACTATGTTTTGAACAAGGTCCATCAGAAACCTTGGTTTCCCACGGTTGAAAAGAAATACAGGATCATAAAAGAGAAGTTGTACAGATACAGATATAGTCACTTTTTACCAAAAGGTAATAATATTACTTATTACTCCCTGACAGTAATCAGTTACACTACTCGTTAGTTTACTTTTCTTCTGAACCTTCATCCTATCTCCCCAACTTTCACAGACTTCACATATGTGCCTCTGTGTTAAGTTATGGTTTCAAACTAGCAGCTTTTTGCAGCCTATGAATCCATAAAGTTACAGGCTAGATGAAAAGTACACCAGGCTTTCACTAATGATAAGACACAATCTTTTAAACAACTTATTATTATTACTTATGTTATTTAGAGTAGGGCTCAAAAATCATATTGCAATTATTTTGACAGATATTGCAATAGCGATTTGATTCACAATGAGTGGGAATTATTATTTTTGCATCTCAGTTTTCATTTTCACTGAAAAAGACTATTAAAATCATGATGATGTGACATGTTTATTTAGATCTGGGGAATAAAATTTGTAGGCCAGGACATCTCTGCACTACAGTACTTAATTATAAAGCTGTTTTGACACATTGTACCTTATCAAAAAATTGTAGTTTCTTGCGATTTGGATATTGGACTTGACCATATATTGGATAACATTTTGATTAATTGCGCAGCCCTAATTTAGAGACATAATCTATTTTGTCAATTACTTTTGTGTTTACTGCGTGTATTTTGAGATACTATAGACAGTTACTGAAACAGTACCAGTACTGAGTACCGGTACTTTACATTCTTGTCAAGTAAGTACCTTATTTAGTACTGCCAGTGCCAGTGTCTCCGTTATCCATTAGCTATTTCAATGCTAAGAAAACAGTATTGAAAATGTCCTCGCTATAAGGCTAATAAGGCACTGACCATAGCAGAGAGTCCCACATTTTATCCACCACATATCCAGCCACAAGCTGCATTAGTACTTTGTCGCTTGTAGCCTGCTGTCCACAATTAAACTCCAGTTTTGTTTGTTAAAATCAAAGTAATGGTAATATCTGCTGAATGTGTTTCCATCTTCAAGCTAGTGTCCTGCGATTGGATTGTTGGATATCAATCATTTGGGGGTACTGTAATATTATTACTGAAATTGTATTAGTAATTAGTTACACTACTACTAATTACTAGGTAAAGTAAAATTGTTACTGTAATATTATCCTTGGTAATGCGTTACTGCCCAATACTGCTATCTGGCCATGAACGTAGGGTGGGAGTTTTATTTGCCGAAGTTTCCAAATATCAGCATCCACCCAAATCAAAAGTGGTATCAATAGTGGTGAACATAATTTAGTTTGTGGTGCAAAATCAACAGCAGCACGTATCTCTAGAAACAGTGTCCCTGTTACTGTCAGTGTTTTTTAATAGTTATGTCAGTAGAAGGTAGTTAATGGGAATACAACATGATGTTATTTTTAAATATTGTCTGCATTGTAATATACCACTACAGGGATACAGGTAAGTAAGAAAATATGCTTTTATGTGGGTGAACATGCCCTTTAGATTAGGAAAACAGCACTTTAAATAATAAGTTATCCATAATTTGTGTTTTGTTGTCCGCAGGTCCAAGAAACAGCCAAACCCTTGGACTTTCAGAGCCCACAATGGAGAGAGGAGGAAGAAGGAAGAGGTGACAGTGTAGGAGCTGCTTTGAAGGTTAAACATATCTCCAAAGATTTACAGATCATCTCCACCAAGCACAAAACACCAGCTTACGGCTCCCTCGGCCCATATGGATGGCCTCAGAACTTCTCACAAGCCCTGGACCAGTACTTGTACCGCCCTCCTCCCAAATCCAAACCTCCCGCAAAAGCATCCCCAAAGGCCAAGAAGATTCTGGGCTGGGGCGATTTTTACTTCAACGTGAAAACAGTGAAGTTCAGCCTCCTGGTGACGGGGAAAATCGTGGACCACATCAACGGCACATTCAGCGTCTACTTCCGCCACAATTCATCCCGTCTGGGGAACATATCCGTCAGCATCGTTCCACCCTCCAAAGCTGTAGGATGGGAGGTTTTGGATCCGGCGGCTCAACACGTTCACACCAAAAACTCAGTCTTGGTTCCAGATCTGACATCCCAGTTCCAGAGTCCACCTCAGTCCACCAGCTCCACCCCTCTGGACCAGCAGAAGCAGCAGCAGGACGTGATGATGGTGACCGAACTCAACTGCCGGATTGAATACCAGAGAACCAACCGGTCCAAGAAGACCAAGCCCTGCCTGTACGACCCGGGACAGACCTGCTACTCAGAAAACACCCAGTCCCAGGCAGCCTGGATCTGCGCCAAACCCTTTAAGGTTATATGCATCTTCATCGCCTTCACTGGCACCGATTACAGGCTGGTGCAGAAAGTCTGTCCAGACCACAACTTTCAGACTGAGCAGAACCAGCAGCACTTCGGATGACAGATTCTGACACGCTGAAACTGAGATAGCAAACACTGACTTTTCATACATCCCTTAAAACCGTGTGTTTAATTTAGGTTCAACATGTTTTTATACACCATTAAAAAAACATTTTCAACATGTCAGTGAGCGCAGTTTGAGCCAGAACTTGTGTTAATGTGTTAATAGCAGCGCTTGTCTATGATGAGATTTATAACGTGAGCTTTGTGTTTGTCTGAAACTATTCTCATCTGCTGAAAAAACTACATTGTCTTTAAAAAAAAGTGATCCTGGATATCACTTTGTGTGTAGTGTTTTTACAAAAAAAAATTTCTCAATATGCATTGATATAAGTGAGGACTTTAAAGCCAACATTTGATATTCTCTACTTGAAAAATGTGATTTCATAGCTCATTAATAATATAAAATAGATAGATGGGACATAATCATCTGTAGTTTTTGAAACATGGACTGACTTCAAGTGCTTTTTTACTATAAAATGAACCTGTTCATTGTACAGTGACTATGACTGATTAGACTTTTTTTTTTTTTTTCAAAGAACTCATACCGCGTGAAATGAAACAGATGATTTACTGTTGTAGTCACTTTTATCAGTGACACAAAGTTCACATGTCCTTGGCTCCCTTCCATTTTACTTTTACCCTTTGCACCTTGACCAGTTTTCTGTTTCCGAGCCCCCAGCTGTCACAGACATGCTTTTTCTGTCCTTACGACAAACACTACGGGTGAGTACATTTGTTTTATAATGTATTCATTTAAGAGCTATTTTAAATGTTTGTACAGAACCACATGTATCTGCATTTAGTAGCTCTTTCCCCCAGCTCCTGAGAGCAGTTATAACTAAATCACTTTTTTACTGCAAACTAGGTCAGCTTATCACCCTAGGTCACCTCAACCCAGATAGAAATGTCTGGTTTGAAGATTGACATTGTGTTGTATTTTCAATTTGTCAGTCCAGTTGCATAAGTGTCACTGTGTTTGTCTGATAACTGTGATTATCCCAGGTTGTCAAAAGAGAAAACAGTGCTACTGTTTGTCCCAGAATATTTTTTGTTGTTGAAGGAAAGTTGACTGTACACACTGCGCTTTAATATACTCAAGGCTTAGAAAACATAATGAACACAAAAGATGAAAGGAGACTTGCTTCGTCACATATTTATGCTTGAACAGTAATCTCTCTATTAGGCCAAAGTAACACATAGTTACGCAACTATCATGCAGCTACAAGCTGCCTTCAACAAACAAGACCCTGATAAATAAGTGTGTGGCCAGCCCTCATTACACTTTTCATGTCCAAGGTTTTCCATAACCGCTCCACTGAATAACACGTTTGCTTTTTCACTGCCTTTCATTTAATGGATTGTTTAGAACATCAAAAGACACATTATTCTAACTCCCTTGTTTCCAAACCCCCGGTGCAAAGTATTATAATTTTGGGTGATGAAAGTGTTTTTGCACAGGCTCACTCTTACTGGGGTTTTCAAAAGACACTAAAGGCGCAATCTTGGAACACAACAACAAAAGAACCCCCCAGAAACTTTTTTTACTCTCAACAGTAAAGTACAATGGAGAGTTGCATCAAATCTTGTTACTATTTGTCTCCACATTAAGGTTTTATTACAGCACCATCTCTCCATAGTCTTCTCAAACAGGGTTTACATATTTTCCTCATTTTCTTTATTATGTTTAAGAAGTGGACATTTAGTTGTTGACTGAAATGTGCTCACCCACCACCCCAAGCCCCTCTTCCTCAGGGCTTCAGGATGTTTGGGCCGAGAGGGGCACGTCACATCGGGGTTGGGCAAGCGAGGCCTCAGCAGCAACAGTGGATGGGTGGGACAGGAGAGCCTGGCCCAGGATGACCCAGAGATGTGGAGCCTCCTGCAGCAGGAGAAGGACAGGCAGTGTCGGGGACTGGAGCTCATTGCATCGGAGGTGAGGCCCGCTCATAAAGAGTATAGAGACAGAGGCAGTGGTTTTCATCAGGAGATCACACAAAGAAAATCACAGCTTAAAATGTTACACTAGATTCTTTACAACCTCTGTCATCTATACTCAGCATTGTCAAAACACCATTCAGATGCAGGGTGTAGGTAAACTGTACTGACCCTATGAGCACCAGTCTGTTGAGGAGGATCAAAAGTGACTGTTTTGTTTGTTCATCTCTTGTGTCACACATGGAGTCTGTGTGTGAGAGTAGTGCTGGAAAAACAGGTGTGTTTTGACACATAAACTCTTATGTCCTTGAAAGGATTGCTGTAGTCATTGTGCAGCACCAACTGCCTGATGGTCTAAGGAACCAGTGCAGTTTTTAAATCCACACTAAAAACCTTGTTATTATCAAGCACATTTACCTAAATGTTTCTGAATCCAGGGTCTTATTATTATTATTATTATTGTGCTATTGTTATTATTTTTTATTTTTTTATTTTTTTATTTTCTATCCATCTTATTTTTAATAAAACTTTTACTTTTAGGTTTATCTTTAATTCTGCTGTTTTTATCTTTGAACTGTCTTGCTTTTAACTGCACTGTACAGCACCTTGAATCTACCTTTGTGTATAAAATGTGCTTTATAGATAAAACAGCCTTGTCTTGCCCTGCTGCACAGCCTTTGGAATATGAAGGTGAAATCAGTAGATGAGGTTGTGCCAGAATATAATTTCAGCCAAAAACCAAACGGCTGTATCACAGCCCCACACACTAGATAATTCATAGTCAATGATTATATTTAAATGTGAAAATCATCTGTGCGCTGTGTGCAACAATCACACCATTTGAAAAATTCATTTCTAAATAGTAGACCTGTAAGGTGCAGTTGTATCTTCTGCAATAGGTATTGCTAATTATCCTTTGTGCTTTCCTGTTGACAGAGGTGTTAAAGATTACAGTATGTGAGACAGGAAGCAAGTCAAAAAAACCTAAACTGCAGAGGAGCTTCCTTCAGCAGTGTAACCACAAGTCACCAGAGTTGTAGTTTCTAGAATATAACTGTTTTCTTCAGAGAGTTCACTGAGATTTCCTTTTGCATTTCCCCCTTGCAAGTCACTGATTACATCTAAGTGGAAGCTGTGGGAAAAGAAGGGGGCTTTCATTCTTTTATTCTCCAGCAATTATGTATCCACAGCACTATCACTCACAATGACTGATCTGAAAGATTTTCATCTTCTTCTGCATGTGCTGTCGCTGCTGCAGGCTGACTCCCACTGGAGAGCACCCGTTTTTTTTCTCCAGGAACAGTCAAATGATCCCATTAGGTTCCTTCACTGATTTCTGCCATTGATCTCTACATTTCAAGTTGAGACAGAGGAGGAGGGGGGGGGAGATCGCTAACGTGGATGTGTTTATGAGTGAGTGTTGAGATAGTGTTTTTGAAATGTCATAGATAGAGATTTATGTCACACGGGGGACTGGTTTTAAATCCCACTGGAATGATTGAGGGATCCCTGAACAGTGACAGGTTTAGTATAATAACAGGCAGAGGAGGCGGCTGAGGAGGACAGAGAGAGACAGAGAGAGAGAGAGAGAGAAGAGGGAAAAAGAGCAGAAGTGAGAGTGGGAGAAAAAGAGACTGAGACAGGCAGAAAAATTAATTCACATTCATTTCCTTTTCTGCAGCTCCATCTCTCCTCTGACTCTCAAGTGTCTTTGAGAGATATGACACTTTACTGAACCCCACAGAGAGTCAGTATTAGTTAGATTCCTCTATATTCATCCCTTAATTTAACTATAGCACCTCTAATTTTTAAATCATTTTTAGATAAGGTAATTTAATTCATTTTTGCAGCTTCCAAAAAAAGCCGTGATTAACATTTTGTAAGATTTATGCAACACATTTAACATTTAAATAACTGTGATTATCCCACCCTGACTCTGGAACTTGTCTTATTGTTTTAATAATTGGTATTTGCAAGAGAAATGCTTATTTTTGAACCTAATTTCATACTGGATAACTCAGACTGTGGTACTGTGTGACTTGGTCTTGCAGAAAGAGAGCAGGGGTGTTCAGTCACCCTTCTCTGGGTAAATAAAGGTTATATTTGGATGGTGACAGCGTTCTGAATATATAAGCATGATAAAAAATGTACTGTGTGTGGCTCTGGATCTTGACACTGTGTTGTGACACTGTGTGCTTGTTTGTCCTGTCAGAACTTCTGCAGCCGGGCAGCACTTGAAGCCCAGGGCTCCTGTCTGAACAACAAATACTCTGAGGGATACCCAGGACAAAGGTAAATGTCCTAATAATACACATATAAAATATATTGTAACAATCATTACAAAACATTGAAAGATTTCCAGAAGCCGGATTGAAGTGCGCACTTTTGTGAAATTTAATTTTAAAACTGTGAGTGAAGTGGGCTTGAAACCAGAGGGTTGGTACATTTACTCCCAGACTAGATACAATGCAATTCAACATGTTATGATACAGTACTGTAAAACAAAATTCTCTATTAAAACATGATTAATTAATATAGTACAACCCGACACAATACAATATGAAAATATGTGGCATAATATGATACACTACGATACGAAATTATACAATACAATATAATATGAAAGCAAACCACACCATACGATATGATGCTTTCTCAGGTACTATGGAGGTGCAGAGATCGTAGACAAGATTGAGCTGCTGTGTCAGAAGCGAGCGCTGACCGCCTTTGGCCTGGACTCAAATATGTGGGGTGTCAACGTCCAGCCATACTCCGGATCCCCTGCTAACTTTGCAGCCTACACATCTGTACTGCAGCCTCACGACCGCATCATGGGCCTGGATCTGCCTGACGGAGGACAGTGAGTGAAAAGGCTCAAGCCAGAGATACTCAAATAAAGAGCTTCTGGGTTATTTATTTTGTTTATTTGTATAGCAAGTAACAACTGCTTGTCAACATTAGATAGAAACACAAGACACAAGCAATGTAATTTAAATAAATATAAACAAATATATTTAGTCGTAAATTGGTACATGACATAGAATCATAACATCATGACAATGAATTAGACAATCTTATGCATTGCGTCCTGATAGATATATTATTACATTATCTGACAGTTATTACGTTAGTAGTTGCTACAGTTTTGTTCAATGTTTTGAGATTTGGCTTATGTGGTTTTGACATTTCTCTACATGAAACTGGATGTTATTACTGGGACTTGACGTCAAGAAGAATTAATGACAAAATGTTGGTCACACAGCCGGGAGTCGTCACATTATACCACCTACTTTAAAATGATGTATTTTTTCACTTCAACCACAGAACTGTGGGAAATGTAAACAATATTTTTTCCAAACTGATGCCCCGATTACACACCTCATCGTCGTATTACTGCTGCAGGTGATATTTAGATTTGTGATGAAATGCAGACCTGCATCTTTTATATGCCAGACACTAAATAAAATGTATATGATGGCTGGCTAGGAGCTGGTAGGAGTACAGAAAGAGAGAGAGAATTGATTCTGATATAAATCTATACAAACATTTAATGTATTTAGTTTATAACAATAGATAGCAGAACAATCTACCCAGTGGCATAAGATAACAACATAAAACCATAGTTTTCTTCTCAAAAGACCAACAATAAAACAATATAAGGAAGATCTAGACATGAACAGATTACTTCATGTACAAGCAATCAAAGAGGGTCTGTAGATCAGTGGCAGGAGGCGATGTGAGGAGAGACTACAGAAGTCAGTTTCACAGAAATTATTTTTTACCATATTTAATTACATGAATGTGTCATATGGAAGATAAATAAGGATCTAGAGAGTTTAGAATGAGTTCACCGTGTTGCAGAAGAACTCACATAACCCCTCACCTGCTGAGCTCATGTACTGAACCTTTATTCCACCACATTCCAGTCTTACTCACGGCTACATGACGGACACCAAGAGAATCTCAGCCACCTCCATCTACTTTGAATCGATGCCTTACAAGCTGGATGTGAGTAATTTGGTTGAAGTAATAAAGTTTTAAACCAAAGTTGTCACAGTGAGTGAAGAAAACAATTGGTCTTGCTGTAAAAAATCACTTTTGACTAGTGTGTGACTCTTCCCTCCATCCCTGTCCTCTTGTGTTATCTCAGCCCAAAACAGGGATGATAGATTATGACCAGCTGGAGAAGACAGCCCGACTGTTCAGACCCAGACTCATCATAGCAGGAACGAGCGCCTACGCTCGCCTCATTGACTATTCTCGCATGAAGAAGGTACCTCTTATGACAGGAATTATGTGTACTTTAAAGCAGCATTGGTAAAAGTTGTGGTAAAAACGTTAGCCTTTACCTTTATGAAAAAGCAGTTTATTAAGTCCTTAAAGCATGAATAGCAAAATATAAGGGAAATGAAATGGGAAACACAAAAAAAAGGAAAATAAGTTTAAAGAACGAGGACATAAGATTCTGTTTTATCTCGTAATGTGTCCGACTGTGTTTGTTTCAGCTATGTGTGGAACTTAATGCCTACCTGCTGGCAGACATGGCTCATATCAGCGGCCTGGTGGCAGCAGGAGCTGTTCCCTCTCCTTTCCAGCACGCGGACCTGGTCACCTCCACTACCCATAAGTCCCTGCGTGGATCAAGGTGAGGGCCCTGGATGTTGTGTGTGAGTAATGATGGTAAAATACAGTTTATTGTCTCTGGTATGTAACTGATTTCTCTCTCCACTCTGCAGGGCCGGTCTGATCTTCTACCGCAAAGGTGTGCGGTCTGTGGATAAGAAAGGTCGGGAGGTGACCTATGACCTCCAGGACAGGGTGAACTTTGCCGTGTTCCCATCACTTCAGGGTGGACCTCACAACCACGCCATTGCTGGGGTGGCTGTCGCCCTCAAACAGGTCCAGATATCAATTTTAATTATTAATATATTAATCAATAGTCTGAGAGGAGAAATAATACTTTGGAAAAACACTTTGCTGAACAGCCTAAAATCAGTAGCTCATGTATAAAACATAGTCCTACTTGTCATCTGGAGTGTCCTGATGTGGTCTTTCTCTTTACACAGCTTAATTTCTGTCTCTGCAGGCTTCCTCTCCCATGTTTAAACAGTACATCGCTCAAGTGCTGCTGAATGCCAAGTCCATGGCTAATGCTCTGCTGAAGAAAGGCTTCACGCTGGTGTCAGGTACGGATGGAACTGAAGAGTGTTTTTTATGATAAAAATGTGCTTCATAAGATTTCTTGTACAAAATGCATATATTACATATTACATTTATAAGATGTACGTTTTTGGGTTTTATGCATTTAAAGTTATATTGCATTTCCACTACTCAAAGTACGTGATGCAATTGCTTTTGGATTGCCTCTTTATTTGCTCCGTCCTAGTTTGCATTCAGTTTACCTGACTTTAGAAAAGTTCACTTAAGCTTCACTTGACAGTCGAATGGGGGAAAAAAAACATTATTAAGAGGAATTTAAAAGAAATTATAATAAATATTATTGCCTGTCTGAAGGTTTGAGTGGAGAGTGAAGGAAAATCTCAAAGTCAGACACATGAACATGTCACCTGAACTGAATATAATTTTAATCATTAAAACAGTAAATCTCTCTCCTCCTTCACCTTTTCTCAGGTGGAACAGACAACCACCTGGTCTTGGTTGACCTTCGACCTCGCAGGATGGACGGGGCTCGGGCTGAGAGGGTCCTGGAGCTGGTGTCCGTCACTGCCAACAAGAACACCTGCCCCGGAGACAAGAGCGCTCTGACTCCAGGAGGACTCAGGCTTGGTACTCAAATTAGTGAATTTAAAGCGTGTGAAGGATGTGTTGGTCAACTGATTATTTTTGGTGAAGAGCTACAGGAGTCGAGGTTGTTTCGGCTGAATCTGTCAAGCAGTCAGTCTTCCTACCGATATGATACTGAACCCTTTCTTCTCTCTCTGTGTGTCTGTCTGTGTGATGCGTCTCTGTTTGCTTTTGTCTGTCTGTGTTTCCATCAGCCAGTCAATCTGTCAGCATGCATGTCTCAATCGCAGCAGTCTTAACATTTTTTATCAACTTTATCAGCGTTGATTGCCCTAATATTGGCATATCTTGTTTTTTTCATCTTACCTTCCTTTTATCTGTCGTGGCTTTCTTACAGGAACTCCGGCTCTGACATCCAGACAGTTCAAGGAGGCAGACTTTGAAAAGGTTGTGGATTTTATTGACGAAGGGATTCAGATCGCACTGGATGTGAAAAAGAAGACTGGTGAGGGAGGAAGAAGTTTCTGTGTTTTGAGTAGACGTCTGATTTATCTAGTGGTGGAGTTTGAGGTTTTATACACTGGCAAAGACACCATGGTGACATATTGTTTGTTGTGAAGGCTGTCTAATTCTCTATGACCAAGGTGAACCATTGATAATGTGCTCAAAAAGAACTGCATTAGTTTGTACCCTGTACACTGGCAATGTAATGTTATAACATTTATTATTGTGCCGTTAGAGACTGTGCAAAAGTTATTAGCACAGAGATATATTTTTTAGAGAGCACAGTAGTCTAATTCCACCTTTATCATGCAGTTTGGTGGCTTTGAGAAAAATGGTGTTACATTTACACATTTTGGTTTAAATTTAAGATCAGCTTTAATTCTTTGTGCAATTTTGGAAATTAATGAAAAAATGCATTATATTACTTTGAGATATTGCGGGTAGTGTGTGTAAGAAAATATCAGTAACTCAGGGGAAGGCCTTTCTCACAACACCAATAAGTTTTATACAGTCCCTAACTAACAAGTTTCCAAGCACAGATTTCACAACGTTTTTTACAGCATTTTACAGGATATTTTAGGAAGAAATGTGAAATGTAAACCTTAAACTTTTCGTTTTAATTCCTCTGTCTCCCAACAGGAAATCTGGCCAGCTTCAAGTCCTTCCTGCTGGAGGACTCGGAGACTGTGTCGCGCATCGCAGACCTCCGCCAGCGGGTGGAGCTATTCGCCAGGCCCTTCCCTATGCCCGGATTCACTGACCACTAGTAACACCCCATACACAAATACACTTTTATCCTTTAGAACTTTTCTAATGTAATAAGTCTCAGATTTTTAGATTCTACGATAATCTAGTCTTAGATGACGTTGCCATGGAAACAAGCATAGTTTCAAAACACTGTCAGGTTAAAACTTGGTCAGTGTGCAGCTGCAGCGGTCATTTCCATATCAACTGTAGCTGCAAGCAGATATAAGTGTATAATATGTCTTTGTCAACAACTATAACGTCTCCTGGCATCCAGTCATTTTTTCCAATTTATTACAGTACCATGCAAAACTCTTATAGGCCACTTTTAAATTATGTTTAATCATACTACATATGAAAATGATTTTGTTTTTTGCATTCAAGTGGCCTCAAATGTTGCACAGTAACAAAGATTATGTTGCAGTTAAAACATCAGCAGCTAGTGCACTTGCTCTAATGTGTTTCCCACTTCTTTTGGGGGTTTGCTGCCCTAAATCAGGAAGGACCTTGAGTGTTTTAGGTATTTGGCTTTTTGTCACTAAGCTCTTTTTAGAGACCTTATCAACGTCAGGCTTTGTCCCAGGCCCTGGGAAACTCACAGCAGCTGTGTTGGGAATTGAACACACACTCAGCTTACACCCACAGAAGCACAGACTGAAAAGGGTAAACGGTTACAGCACAAACTATGTTTTTAGGCTTTTTTTTTGGTATAACATATTAATGCCACCTTCTATACATTCTCTTTGGTTTGTATTGTAAAGGACTTGTGAGAAATGTACAATGTATATACAGTAGATCTTCTTTATTGCAATAAAAATTAATCCTAAATGTTTAAACGTTATTACGTCATTACTAATATTTCATGATCTCTGTGCTGTCACTTGCATTGGTCTAATGAATACTGGCTGCTCTGTAACAGGCACATGCATTTGTTAGAGAGAATGATGATTTATGTTTACAGTCGAAGCAGGGAGGAGACTGCAGAGTTTATAAACATTGATCCGTGTTAAGCTGCATGCATTTCCTCCAGTCATTTCCTCTCACTGTCAACTTCAGGGAGCAGTCCAAAAAAAAACAAAAAACAGACGCTGATCTTTAGAGAGTGATAGATATCAGACAGGAAGATAGTTGGAGCCAGAGCTTCACACCCTGAAAAAACTTTGGTTTGTCTTCAGTGAGCTTCAGCCTCTTATCTCCACTGGATAGCTGGTCTTGTTTTGTATGTGAATGAATTGTTTCATGACTTCCATTCAAATTAAAGATCCCCTCCAGACAT